GGGAGCGTGTGCTCTGCGTGTGCTGTGCGGTGATTGGCCGGGGAGCGGGTGCTCTGCGTGTGCTGCGCAGTGATTGGCCGGGGAGCAGGTGCTCTGCGTGTGCTGCGCGGTGATTGGCCGGGGAGCAGGGGCTCTGCGTGTGCTGCGCGGTGATTGGCCGGGGAGCAGGGGCTCTGCGTGTGCTGCGCGGTGATTGGCCGGGGAGCAGGGGCTCTGCGTGTGCTGCGCGGTGATTGGCCGGGGAGCAGGGGCTCTGCGTGTGCTGCGCGGTGATTGGCCGGGGAGCAGGGGCTCTGCGTGTGCTGCGCGGTGATTGGCCGGGGAGCAGGGGCTCTGCGTGTGCTGCGCGGTGATTGGCCGGGGAGCAGGGGCTCTGCGTGTGCTGCGCGGTGATTGGCCGGGGAGCAGGGGCTCTGCGTGTGCTGCGCGGTGATTGGCCGGGGAGCAGGGGCTCTGCGTGTGCTGCGCGGTGATTGGCCGGGGAGCAGGGGCTCTGCGTGTGCTGCGCGGTGATTGGCCGGGGAGCAGGGGCTCTGCGTGTGCTGCGCGGTGATTGGCCGGGGAGCAGGGGCTCTGCGTGTGCTGCGCGGTGATTGGCCGGGGAGCAGGGGCTCTGCGTGTGCTGCGCGGTGATTGGCCGGGGAGCAGGGGCTCTGCGTGTGCTGCGCGGTGATTGGCCGGGGAGCAGGGGCTCTGCGTGTGCTGCGCGGTGATTGGCCGGGGAGCAGGGGCTCTGCGTGTGCTGCGCGGTGATTGGCCGGGGAGCAGGGGCTCTGCGTGTGCTGCGCGGTGATTGGCCGGGGAGCAGGGGCTCTGCGTGTGCTGCGCGGTGATTGGCCGGGGAGCAGGGGCTCTGCGTGTGCTGCGCGGTGATTGGCCGGGGAGCAGGGGCTCTGCGTGTGCTGCGCGGTGATTGGCCGGGGAGCAGGGGCTCTGCGTGTGCTGCGCGGTGATTGGCCGGGGAGCAGGGGCTCTGCGTGTGCTGCGCGGTGATTGGCCGGGGAGCAGGGGCTCTGCGTGTGCTGCGCGGTGATTGGCCGGGGAGCAGGGGCTCTGCGTGTGCTGCGCGGTGATTGGCCGGGGAGCAGGGGCTCTGCGTGTGCTGCGCGGTGATTGGCCGGGGAGCAGGGGCTCTGCGTGTGCTGCGCGGTGATTGGCCGGGGAGCAGGGGCTCTGCGTGTGCTGCGCGGTGATTGGCCGGGGAGCAGGGGCTCTGCGTGTGCTGCGCGGTGATTGGCCGGGGAGCAGGGGCTCTGCGTGTGCTGCGCGGTGATTGGCCGGGGAGCAGGGGCTCTGCGTGTGCTGCGCGGTGATTGGCCGGGGAGCAGGGGCTCTGCGTGTGCTGCGCGGTGATTGGCCGGGGAGCAGGGGCTCTGCGTGTGCTGCGCGGTGATTGGCCGGGGAGCAGGGGCTCTGCGTGTGCTGCGCGGTGATTGGCCGGGGAGCAGGGGCTCTGCGTGTGCTGCGCGGTGATTGGCCGGGGAGCAGGGGCTCTGCGTGTGCTGCGCGGTGATTGGCCGGGGAGCAGGGGCTCTGCGTGTGCTGCGCGGTGATTGGCCGGGGAGCAGGGGCTCTGCGTGTGCTGCGCGGTGATTGGCCGGGGAGCAGGGGCTCTGCGTGTGCTGCGCGGTGATTGGCCGGGGAGCAGGGGCTCTGCGTGTGCTGCGCGGTGATTGGCCGGGGAGCAGGGGCTCTGCGTGTGCTGCGCGGTGATTGGCCGGGGAGCAGGGGCTCTGCGTGTGCTGCGCGGTGATTGGCCGGGGAGCAGGGGCTCTGCGTGTGCTGCGCGGTGATTGGCCGGGGAGCAGGGGCTCTGCGTGTGCTGCGCGGTGATTGGCCGGGGAGCAGGGGCTCTGCGTGTGCTGCGCGGTGATTGGCCGGGGAGCAGGGGCTCTGCGTGTGCTGCGCGGTGATTGGCCGGGGAGCAGGGGCTCTGCGTGTGCTGCGCGGTGATTGGCCGGGGAGCAGGGGCTCTGCGTGTGCTGCGCGGTGATTGGCCGGGGAGCAGGGGCTCTGCGTGTGCTGCGCGGTGATTGGCCGGGGAGCAGGGGCTCTGCGTGTGCTGCGCGGTGATTGGCCGGGGAGCAGGGGCTCTGCGTGTGCTGCGCGGTGATTGGCCGGGGAGCAGGGGCTCTGCGTGTGCTGCGCGGTGATTGGCCGGGGAGCAGGGGCTCTGCGTGTGCTGCGCGGTGATTGGCCGGGGAGCAGGGGCTCTGCGTGTGCTGCGCGGTGATTGGCCGGGGAGCAGGGGCTCTGCGTGTGCTGCGCGGTGATTGGCCGGGGAGCAGGGGCTCTGCGTGTGCTGCGCGGTGATTGGCCGGGGAGCAGGGGCTCTGCGTGTGCTGCGCGGTGATTGGCCGGGGAGCAGGGGCTCTGCGTGTGCTGCGCGGTGATTGGCCGGGGAGCAGGGGCTCTGCGTGTGCTGCGCGGTGATTGGCCGGGGAGCAGGGGCTCTGCGTGTGCTGCGCGGTGATTGGCCGGGGAGCAGGGGCTCTGCGTGTGCTGCGCGGTGATTGGCCGGGGAGCAGGGGCTCTGCGTGTGCTGCGCGGTGATTGGCCGGGGAGCAGGGGCTCTGCGTGTGCTGCGCGGTGATTGGCCGGGGAGCAGGGGCTCTGCGTGTGCTGCGCGGTGATTGGCCGGGGAGCAGGGGCTCTGCGTGTGCTGCGCGGTGATTGGCCGGGGAGCAGGGGCTCTGCGTGTGCTGCGCGGTGATTGGCCGGGGAGCAGGGGCTCTGCGTGTGCTGCGCGGTGATTGGCCGGGGAGCAGGGGCTCTGCGTGTGCTGCGCGGTGATTGGCCGGGGAGCAGGGGCTCTGCGTGTGCTGCGCGGTGATTGGCCGGGGAGCAGGGGCTCTGCGTGTGCTGCGCGGTGATTGGCCGGGGAGCAGGGGCTCTGCGTGTGCTGCGCGGTGATTGGCCGGGGAGCAGGGGCTCTGCGTGTGCTGCGCGGTGATTGGCCGGGGAGCAGGGGCTCTGCGTGTGCTGCGCGGTGATTGGCCGGGGAGCAGGGGCTCTGCGTGTGCTGCGCGGTGATTGGCCGGGGAGCAGGGGCTCTGCGTGTGCTGCGCGGTGATTGGCCGGGGAGCAGGGGCTCTGCGTGTGCTGCGCGGTGATTGGCCGGGGAGCAGGGGCTCTGCGTGTGCTGCGCGGTGATTGGCCGGGGAGCAGGGGCTCTGCGTGTGCTGCGCGGTGATTGGCCGGGGAGCAGGGGCTCTGCGTGTGCTGCGCGGTGATTGGCCGGGGAGCAGGGGCTCTGCGTGTGCTGCGCGGTGATTGGCCGGGGAGCAGGGGCTCTGCGTGTGCTGCGCGGTGATTGGCCGGGGAGCAGGGGCTCTGCGTGTGCTGCGCGGTGATTGGCCGGGGAGCAGGGGCTCTGCGTGTGCTGCGCGGTGATTGGCCGGGGAGCAGGGGCTCTGCGTGTGCTGCGCGGTGATTGGCCGGGGAGCAGGGGCTCTGCGTGTGCTGCGCGGTGATTGGCCGGGGAGCAGGGGCTCTGCGTGTGCTGCGCGGTGATTGGCCGGGGAGCAGGGGCTCTGCGTGTGCTGCGCGGTGATTGGCCGGGGAGCAGGGGCTCTGCGTGTGCTGCGCGGTGATTGGCCGGGGAGCAGGGGCTCTGCGTGTGCTGCGCGGTGATTGGCCGGGGAGCAGGGGCTCTGCGTGTGCTGCGCGGTGATTGGCCGGGGAGCAGGGGCTCTGCGTGTGCTGCGCGGTGATTGGCCGGGGAGCAGGGGCTCTGCGTGTGCTGCGCGGTGATTGGCCGGGGAGCAGGGGCTCTGCGTGTGCTGCGCGGTGATTGGCCGGGGAGCAGGGGCTCTGCGTGTGCTGCGCGGTGATTGGCCGGGGAGCAGGGGCTCTGCGTGTGCTGCGCGGTGATTGGCCGGGGAGCAGGGGCTCTGCGTGTGCTGCGCGGTGATTGGCCGGGGAGCAGGGGCTCTGCGTGTGCTGCGCGGTGATTGGCCGGGGAGCAGGGGCTCTGCGTGTGCTGCGCGGTGATTGGCCGGGGAGCAGGGGCTCTGCGTGTGCTGCGCGGTGATTGGCCGGGGAGCAGGGGCTCTGCGTGTGCTGCGCGGTGATTGGCCGGGGAGCAGGGGCTCTGCGTGTGCTGCGCGGTGATTGGCCGGGGAGCAGGGGCTCTGCGTGTGCTGCGCGGTGATTGGCCGGGGAGCAGGGGCTCTGCGTGTGCTGCGCGGTGATTGGCCGGGGAGCAGGGGCTCTGCGTGTGCTGCGCGGTGATTGGCCGGGGAGCAGGGGCTCTGCGTGTGCTGCGCGGTGATTGGCCGGGGAGCAGGGGCTCTGCGTGTGCTGCGCGGTGATTGGCCGGGGAGCAGGGGCTCTGCGTGTGCTGCGCGGTGATTGGCCGGGGAGCAGGGGCTCTGCGTGTGCTGCGCGGTGATTGGCCGGGGAGCAGGGGCTCTGCGTGTGCTGCGCGGTGATTGGCCGGGGAGCAGGGGCTCTGCGTGTGCTGCGCGGTGATTGGCCGGGGAGCAGGGGCTCTGCGTGTGCTGCGCGGTGATTGGCCGGGGAGCAGGGGCTCTGCGTGTGCTGCGCGGTGATTGGCCGGGGAGCAGGGGCTCTGCGTGTGCTGCGCGGTGATTGGCCGGGGAGCAGGGGCTCTGCGTGTGCTGCGCGGTGATTGGCCGGGGAGCAGGGGCTCTGCGTGTGCTGCGCGGTGATTGGCCGGGGAGCAGGGGCTCTGCGTGTGCTGCGCGGTGATTGGCCGGGGAGCAGGGGCTCTGCGTGTGCTGCGCGGTGATTGGCCGGGGAGCAGGGGCTCTGCGTGTGCTGCGCAGTGATTGGCCGGGGAGCGGGTGCTCTGCATGTGCTGTGCAGTGATTGGCCGGGGAGCAGGTGCTCTGCATGTGCTGTGCAGTGATTGGCCGGGGAGCAGGTGCTCTGCGTGTGCTGCGCAGTGATTGGCCAGGGAGTGGGTGTTCTGTGTGCTGGATGGTGGTTGGCTGGGGAGCGGGGGGGGGGCGTTGGCAT